AAAAAATTTGTATCGCCTACATACATTCATGTACATACCTACACGGCAATATGTATGTCCTGTTTCAAAATTTCAAATGATAACATAGATAAACATCGTGTTGTATTCTTAATCAATTTGGATTCTAAAATAAAATGGAAATGGTGTTTTTTAACGTAGGTGACACTACTGACATCTGCCTGCTGTCACATCTTCGGCGGCCACCGGTCTCCAGAAGTGAGAGGGTTCAGTCTGAGGCTGGACCTGTTCGGTATCTTCATCGGAGTTCACGGCTTCCAGTTCATCATTCTCTACTACGGGATTTGTGACGATGTAGGTTGAAGCAAGCCTTGTGTCCAGTGTATCGCGGTTTGGGTCGGTTCAACTAGGCCATTGATAGGAGTTTTGTGCCTGATAGGATATTTTGAACGACAGGAGTAGTCTCAGCCCTGTGATCGCAATACACTGTAAGTCTACATTGAGAACCCCCATTTCAGCACCAAGGACATCGCCAGGCGGTGGACAGGAGTTAACTTATCCTGTACAAAACTTCTGCCGGGAGCTAGCCATTGCGATTCTTGAATCGGGTGTATAGCAGACTGTTTTATACATTGCCTTCAACGTATAAGACAGCCTGGTTGGGCCGGGCGGCGGAAAACTTCCACAGACCCGAAGAGAGCTCGCCCAAACCTCGATAGACTGGACACCAAAGACTTTGCCATTTAATTCTTCTTTCCTTGTAATAGATTGTGACGGGCCTATTACTTCCTTATAACTTGGTTGCATAATATCATAAAATGAAAAGATGCTATGAGATGACAAAATGCGTTGTTGCGGTGGCCTAGTCAGCGCTTATTTTTGGTACAAACTAGTCCTAGACCTTAATTTGATGTTGTTCATCGCATGTGATGATGACGTGTCAGTGTTTGTTGTCTATATGAGTTGTGACGTCGCAAAATCTGTTGTTTTGTCGTCACGCATGCAGTGGTACTTTTACATGCATCATTTTGTGGCTTGGTCGCTGTTCCTGCTCAACGTGGCCGTCGAGTTCAAGGACGACGAGGTCGGCCAGACACAAGACGCCGCCGTGCTGAAAAGGTTGGTACTGCAGGCTCATGTGTTTTCGTGACGCGTTTTTTAAAACTATCCTCAGGATTGGTACATTCATTGACAAATGTTCTTACTCTCTTTTTACACCACAGACGCATCACGCTAACAGCTTTGCAGTGGGGCTATGGTGCCGTGCCAATATTACATGCCATTTGTAGCAACGGAGGCTTCTGGCACCCTACCGGACAGGTAACACACTTGTTGACCATTTTCGCATTTTAGATCACACCAAATGCCAAGTGGTTAACTCTTCATTAAAACATTTACCTCTAGTGTGACGTATATCTAAACAATCTGCAGACCACATATGTTCAACCGCCATGTAACCTTGTGTGTTTTTGCTGCAAATATCAGTGTACATAACCATTAAAATACTCGTATTGTGCTGTACTACTACATAAAATTTCATGTGTTTAAAGCTGAAAGAAAACATAATACAACAATAAAGAGGCGCAGAGGGACAAAGCAGTTATAACATACACTCAGTTCCCTACTCTATGCTAGTCTTTCCCTAATTCATGTATCATTTGATTCAACAGTACTTCTGTCAGCGGTTCCTGGGAGTGGTGTTTTACTCCCTGGCCTGTCTGGTGTCATATACATCCCAACTGCCGGAAAGACTGGCCCCAGGTAACTCTAACGTCTCTGTTACCTGCCGTACAATAACAAGACAACATAAAACAGTTACAGAGCTTTGTTTCAGCTTAAGAGTTGGCGCATCGAATCTGCGACTGTCCAGCTCATCAGAAGTTGTTTTGTATGTGATTCGCGTCATTCATTATCAATTTACACCCTTTTTGATAAGTTACAATTTCTGATTCGAGACAAAACTTTCTAAAGAACTTTTATCAACTGTCAGGATTTTGCTAGGATACAGTTTAGGGAGGGGAGAGGCTGACAAATATCCCGTTCACCCATGAAGAAACTGGCTCTTTTTGAGCGCCTGTATGTTTTTTCCTGTACAGGCTGGTTTGACTATGTGGGCCAGAGTCACCACTGGTGGCACATGATGGTGCTGTGCGGGATCATCAACTTCAACAACTCGGCGCTGGACTTCATACAGCTCCGACAGAAGGTCCCGTGTTCTTAACGTCTGCTGGGACATAGCGGCTTTACCAGACCACGTCAGTCCAATTACATGTGCGTGTAGTTTTATCGCAAAGAAAATTTCACGGCTAGAAGGAATAAAACTCAAATGTATGTTCAAAGTTAATCCCCGGTCACATATATCGTACGATGCACCTAGGACGGTTTTTTCTCGACAATCATGCCGTAATGAATAAGCTACTCAAAACTACGTATGGCGATATCGTAGCGGACAAAAACAATTCAACATCGTAGGTACATAACCTATCTTCGGTAATACAATCATGCTCAAATAGAAACACACCAGTAAAAGCAATAGAATTTACTATATTCATCTAACAATTCCTTTGGTTCGCAATACTTGTGTTTTAGAGAAAATGAGCCATGTAATTGGACTAATGTGGTCTATTAAATAACTTAAGATGAACAAAAAGTAACCTCCACATCCTATATCATTAATTCATTACGGGTCCTTCTTGACTATAAGACTTCAACGCAAACGTTAAGGCAGAGTGATACACCGCATGTATTGCACGGAATCTAGTACATGTGTATGCATCCCAAGTAGAAGATGAAGATAAGTATGGCTAACTTTACCATAGTATTGTCATTAACCCACTTAGCCCTCTTGGGCTTAAATGATGAAATAATCTACCTCTGAACGTACCTAGTATTGCAATCTAACAACTAATGATATTGACCTATTATCCTACTTCCTACAAGTACAATTTAGTCATCGTAATCTAAAGACGGACATACTTCTATTACCTCACTTTTTATATTTTTCGATGCATTTTTAAATATTTTTCAATGCATTTTAACAACAGGAATAACAATGCATTATGTAGTGTAGTTCTAAAATTGTCATAATTCGGATTCAATGCAAGAACGCAATAATATGTGACATTTTAATATGATAGATTATGTATATTTATGTCAACTTTGTGATCAAGACAGAAAGGTAGATTTGATTTCGAACTAGGTCCAACTACAGACTTTGACACGACACAACACCATACTATGTACAATGGTGCCTGACACAACATAACACAGCATGACAAAGCACGAATTGTGATGCAAGTAAATAGCAGCCCATTCTATTACATGTACATCGTACATGTTCTACTATACAAAAGTTGACAAGCATGTGATAACTTAATCGAAAGTAGTTTTTTGAAGGACCTGTAATCTCACAATATAATGTATAGTCTTTCGAGAAAGATTTAAGGTATCTTTCTTACCCTGTATCAGAAAGAGCTTTAAGAACAGATCCATTCCATAGAAGTATACATTTGAGATTCACAAAGTAAGGTTAATGTTAGGTTTATTAACTTTAGACATACTGTTACTTCACAATACGAACTGTGCAATAAAAGAAATGTCTAATGTTAAGAATGTACTTGTACTTAGGCTGTAAATCCTACAATACACAGCGCACTTCGTCTTTGATAGAACAAATTTTGGTGATGGAAATGACTGAATGAGATTCCCTAGCCTGGGTGCCATCCTCCGTAGTTTCCGCCCGCTCCCTAATGTAGCCAGCGACATTAGGGAGCAGGCGGAAACTACGGAGGGTAGAACCCAGGCAGAAGGTTCCCGCTCATTGCAGTAAGAATTGCGCCACCTACCGGGTGATAGGGGGGTTGCTGCATCGACGTGTGTCTCAAATGCTGGCATTTCAATAAAATATTTCGTCCACGAAAGTTCTTCACTTGTACAAATTGCCATGGCAAATAGACAATGAGCAAAAGTCTACAAAGCGAATATGAAAATCATAGAAACCATGACATAGTAATTAGATAAATAATTTTTCCCTTATATTGAAATACAATAAAGACAATGGTGCTATACTTGTGATGGCTCTTCTTTAGAATAAATTTATCCATAGATGATCTATGAATATGAAACCACATCTCAGAGAAGAATGTACAACTGCGTATTTCAGTACAGAAGAAATTTCACGTAAGCTAAATCCTAGATATCCAAACATCAACTTTCTGAACGCCTAACACTATATAGTAGACACAAATAAAGAAAACAAAAAAAGAGCATGGTTGATTGTCTAATAGCGTCTTTATTGCAGCGAAAAATGTCCGAGAAACAAGAAAATTATATGCAGGTATTGGAAAGCAATAAACTGGTTTGTCGGTTAAATCGATGTTTTTGAGACTGCACTATGCACAGTTTGCGCTGTTTGAATCGATATTTAAAGCTGGATCATGAACACGAACTTCATTATAAAGACTAATCCCTCATTACGCAATTGGTAGATTTTATGCAATATTGCTTAATTCAATATCTATATCCTTATCTGGCAAGTTACACCGATAAAAAGTTTTCATGACTACTGGGTTAAGCCCAGTTTTGCCACTTTCTGAGCAATATCAAGGGTACGCTTTTTTTTCAAACAACGAGCATAGACGTTGTTGCAAACCACACAGCCATGGTGGAATCACACTGCTTATCAGCCAATGAGCGGGGCTTTGCCTGTAATAAAATAGAAAACACGTTATTCCATTTTCCATCTAGTCAGTAGATTTCTCGATTTGCCTTAGATATCTACAGAGAACCTACCCTGGGTGCCAAACTCGTCTTGGGCCTCCCTTCGTTTCGGGCCTCTCTTCGGCAGCCAAGAGCACTTCGCCCGCCTACCGCTACGGGGGAGTCTAGCCCGGCCAGGTCTTGGCTGCCGAAGGAAAATGGCTAACGGCCCGATACTAGTTTGGCACCCAGGGTACAGAGAACCAGACAATGGGTAATTATTCCTCCCCTTTTTCATTTTACTAGGGTCCTTTTGCCACTAGGAAAAAATTGGATCGAGCCAGCTTCGATCCGGAGCCAAAAAAGCTATAATATCCGACTTGATCCGGACAATTTTATCCTAGTGGAAAAGGTCCTATATATATTGAATCTATCCGCTCTAGCGGTGGTCGCTATTTGTACTTGTGAGTTGCGACGTCACATGCGAACACTCACAGTTGGTGGTGGTTCCGCGCCAGGTGCATTTGTTGGTGCACTTGTACCTGGAGTCGAACACGCTCCAAGTCGGCTTGTTGCACTTGTACTTGCAGACAGTCCCCGGCACGTAGGGAGCGGCGCAGTTGTACATGGTCGTGCCGGAAATGCTCGGAGGTGGGGAGCTGCAAGTACCGCCTACGAAACAAACAAAAAGCTTAAGTAGTTTGTGTTGATTGTCTTTCACCACTATTTTCGTCTACTGAAAAGGCAGACTTCTGGTCAGTGGAGAGTATTCTACTCTGGCGCCGGCAGGCAAGAGTTAAAGCGTTAAGAGTTAATTATACACGTATAATGTCCTTGAGTTGTGCCATCACTTAGATTGTAATTTTTTCTGTGACCCGAATAAAAAAAATGTTGTGTCGGCGACAGGTATGCGTAAATAGACATACTAGTACTTTTTGAAAACGAAATTACTGTAGCTTGAAGAGTTCCTTACAGTTCTGACGGCGGCGGCGACGGCGGCCCCACCACGCAGACGAGTCCACTACCAGCAGGAGGACCAGAAACAGCACAAGGCAGCGGCGCGTTCTGAAGGACAGCAAAAAAGGGCGGCGTCAAGGTCACACAATCTTCGGACCATCAGACTGAAATTGTTGCCCCTTTTTGTGTTTACCATTACCAAAATGGTTACTGATCTTTCTACTGAAGTCATGATGTCCAGAAAACTCCTGAAATCAGTATTTTAACCAAACCAAGGCCATTTGTATATAATAGGCCATTTGTATATAATAGGCTCGATGCAGCCTGGTTTGACCTAACTTTACTTTGCTTTGGGCGAAAATGTTGACAGGTTTTCTGTGCAGAACGAGTTTGCCACAGTCACAGGTTATCACGCAATCAGACGGTAATAATTTAGCCTGAAGGATTTTACCTGTGACGCAGTTATTTTTTTGCGACATCTACAATCTGCTTTGCTTTTTAACGGAAAGAAAGTCTTTTTTTAGAACACATTTGGTCAAATAGTACGAATAGTACGAAACTATAAGACAGAAACAGAGTTTTTGAATTTTAGATAAAAATAACGACGAAAGAAAAAATATCCGACTGTCTTGGTAGGTGGCATGTTATGGTATAAAACAAGGAGGCTGACTTCTAAGAAGCTTTCCAAGACTCAAGGTCAGAAGCAGAGCTACTTGACTATGGCTAACATTTTCAACGTCCGGTGTAAATTGAGAAGGTCTCATTCATTCATTCATTCATTCAGCCTCCCCGCCATGTATATCGCTAAACTGTGGTCTGATTTACTACTGGACGTTAACTTCAACCTTGTCCTGTTGTAAATCGTGACACGTCAGTCATAAAATATCCACTCACCCCATCAGGTTAGATTCAAATACAGGAACACAGACGAAGACGGATTGTTTCCTGCTTGAGACAGGGCTGAAGGTGGTGAAGAATTGTCAGAACAATGGCTCTCAAACAGGTTTGTGTGTTCAAGCATGACATTTCGTTTTTTCGCATATTTAGGAAACCGCCTTTAGCGTTAGCAGACCAGTTTTGTGCATATCGCCTTTAGGCGCACGTTTTGAGGACGTCGGTAGGTCGGAGGAAGCCTGGTATTCATTTTCACCCAAGTGTAGTGAGAAAAAAATGGGTGTTAGGTACCTTTCCAAAGCTCAGAAAATTAGAGCCTATCAGGGATTTGAACCCAGATCCTCAGTTAAATTCTATGTTGGCCAAATCCGATCTTTGACTACCCAAACTTATCCATATTTCCAGTAGTGCCAATGGCTAACGTGGTATTTGCACGGGGGTCAAATAATATCATTGTTGCCACCCTCTTGACCAGTTAACCTAGGCTTAATGTTGTCATTAAAACGAAGCAGTCATATAACGTCTCGATTTTCTGCCCCCACATCTGCTTGGTAATTAGTCGAGCGCAGAAAACTGCGTTTCGAAACAATGTCGCAAGGTGGCGCTTTACCCTGCGCAGAGGACTTGCGCAATACATCAAAACATCTCATCAGGGAAAGTGGTCCCGGTGCG